TAATTATAAGTTTAGATATAGTTGTAAATATTATTTACCAAGGTTTATATTAACTTTGGCATATTGCCTAGAAAATAATGTTTACCAAAGTTGAAATAGATTCAGGACAGTAAGCTTTGGGTAGCTGTTCATAATTATAATTCGAGTATTAATGTATTCATTCATAAATTTATACACTTGAAACTCCGTTGATACAGGATTTCCAATGAATATTCTAGAAGATGAATGATTGAACTTTGAACCATCAGCAGGAAAATCAATTAAATTGAGAGAAAAATTTATCCTCAACAAAACCGAAGGTATGCATTCTCAATATTTAGACCAGAATCATTCTAACAGTGGTAATCTTGCTACAGGTTTCCCTCATACCAGTTTAGTTACTTATGCAATAACTCGCTTTCTTTAATTGCCAATAACTCATATATTTTGCAGTTAGTTAAACAATTATGTTACAAAATCATCATTGACAGCAATTGCTCGCTATCAAGTGTAATGGTCCACCTACGACATTCTGTGTCACTGGTCATGGGTTCTGTGAGTCCTCTTGTGGCTATTGAACCTGATCCTAGAGCCACGTCTCCCACTACACGTTTGTCAGATGTATCCATGAATTGGATTGGTCCTTTGTCTTGAGATTGAGTCAAATTCTGCTGCTGACCTGCTGGTCTGAAGCTAGGGACTTCCAGATCTCGCAATCGTGTCCCTGTTACCTCGTGCCAATTGCTGTTAGGGTCAGAGGGAGGAACTAGACAAAGGCAATCCAAAAAGTCCTCAATAGTGGTTCAGGCGGAAGACATTAGTGTGATATCAATGACTATGATAGTGAATGAAGGCTGCAGCAGTCGGGAAATCCCTAGTCATCAAATATTACAAAACACTGCAGACAGGAAAACAGCAATTTACAAAGCTGAAATAGTTTCATACAATTTAATTCTAACAATTAACAGCTCCTGTACAAATGCCTACAACACGATGCTATGGAACACTGTGCTGTTAAAAACAAATCTGGTTGACTTTGTTTAGTCGGCATTGGATATTGTTAATTAAGTCAGAATAATTTCAGCAAAGTCCAGTTATCATCTGGAAGGTTAAGAGGTCACTTGATAGAGACATACAAGATGATTAGAGGATTAGATAGGGTGGACAGTGGGAGCCTTTTTCCTCGGATGGTGATGGCTAGCACGAGGGGACATAGCTTTAAATTGAAGGGTGATAGATATAGGACAGATGTCAGAGGTAGGTTCTTTACTCAGAGAGTAGTAAGGGCGTGGAATGCCCTGCCTGCAAAAATAGTAGACTCGCCAACTTTAAGGGCATTTAAATGGTCATTGGATAAACATATGGATGATAATGGAATAGTTTAGGTTAGATGGGCTTCAGATTGATTTCACAGGTCAGCGCAACATCGAGGGCCAAAGGGCCTGTACTGCGCTGTAATGTTCTATGCTCTATGCTCTATCTCTCAGGTTCTGAAGAAGGGTCACTGGACCCAAAACTTTGACTCTGCTTTCTCTCCACAGATGCAGCCAGACCTGCTGAGTTTTCCCAGCAATTTCTGTTTTTGTTTCCAGTCATTCCAGCATTTCCTCAATCAAATTAATGTACTGTCCCTAAATCAAAGTAATCAAACAATATGAGTTATCACCAATCAGGTCAACCTACAATCAAACTACATAATGCATCCTTGGCTGATTGAAGGGTATCCTAAATTAAGGTTGATATGCCCAGGGATATGCATTAACGTTTGAAACTAATCAAAGCAAGTTCACTGATATATTCAAATAGACTTTTACTGTTAGTTTTACTTTGAGATGTTCAAACTGAAAAAGATATCAATGTAGGCAAAACTAACTTAACAAAGATGCTCAGATTAAAAGCTGGTTGAAAACTAATTTGCCTCTTTTGATCACTGTTGTGCATTTTCGAACAAATCATTAACTTTGACTTGTATTTAACCAGCACCAGAACCTTGAAACCTTTGAATTCTTTTCACTTCATTGACTCAATAGGATGACCAGACCATATCCACTGCGGATTTTTTCCCTGACATTCTCATAGGAATGATTGGGGTTTGTCAGCTTACTGTATGCAAACACAAATGGAAGCTCACTTAGGGAAAGAATCAGTTCAAAGCCACAGATATCAAGGAAGAAAGTTAAGATAGTATAAATAAATGATTAAACATAGGAAGCACAAAGTATGCATCAATGATATAGTGTTACACTAGGGATAACTGCTAACCTGAGCCACACTGGGTTTCTGAACCACCAGGAGTGGATTCAATCACCATATGGATGTTACCTGGCTCCATGATGCAACAATATATACATAGACAAAGATACAGCAGAGAGTCTTAAAGCTCTGCAAAACTTCATTAATTTGTTAAATACTGAATTGAAAGATGCATGCCTTTAACTTTTAAAGATATGTCAACTGCTGTCCTTTCCCACCCTGGGTTCTGTAACTAACCCCAAACGTTATTACTGCGCAGAATTGGCAGCCAGCCAGAATGGAACACTTCTCGGCAACTTCATCACACTTCCTGACATAGGGTACCTCTTCACAGTTGTTAGTCTCGGAGTTACCTCTAAAATCGAGGGTTTTCTGGGCTACATTTTATACAGTTCAGACCTGCCAAGTTGGCAATCCGATTTGCTTATTTGGAATTGCTTGTGAGATGTCCAAATCCAAATGGTTTTACCATACATAACTAGCAATTGCCCATTTCCTTCAGTTTCTGCAAATACTTCTCCCTTTTATGGTCTCAACCATAACTTGGCCCCTGATTGGACTTCACAGAAGCTGGAAAGTCATTCTATTCATTCTTTCTAACTGCAGCTGGAACTTCGGTGTGATAAGCTATTTAGCTTGGAGAACTGCTTTCTACAACATCTTCTCTCTGGTTTGCACCTAACTTGTTCCAGTCCATTGTAAAGTCTCATATCGATTCCCATATCTTCAGCCTTATCCAACATGGACATTAAGCATCAACTGGGTGGAAGTGAGGCAAAGTGTTGTACATGAACTATGTAACTTGCTGGATCTCCCTTCTAATTGTTTAACTGGAAGCAGAATCTTTTGCTGACAGCAATTGCTCTGAAAGGGCTTGTTTTGGAGCTGTATTAAGATCCACCCAATCAGGTGATGTAATGTAAGAGACTGTATCCTTTCATTTTCCTGATATGTTGATTATGGTTTGAAATGGGAATGGGACTGTTTTAAAAATCAGAGAATGTGGAAGAGATTGGTGTATTTTTTAAAAGCAAGTTGCCAGCACAGTTTACACTGTTGCTTGTTTAAGCAGTGGGGGGAGGATACTGCCGTTTGGTTAGTGCCAAGGCATGAGTACAAAGTGAGATTCATCTGATAACAGGTCTTTAGGTGGCAACCAGTTTGTCAATGATAAAAGCCTTCAGAAACTTGGCTCATGTTTTCTGTTAACCTGAATCTAAAAAGAAAGGAAAATGGGAATATTTTGCATACTTTGATAAAATATCTTCTTGTGATGACACTGAGAATAGTAAGGCTTCAATTCGTAGAATCATAGAATCCTTACTGTGTGGAAA